AGAGAGAGAGAGAGAGGAAATAGTCATTTTTATTATATTATTTCGTTTGAAGCCTGCACATATAGGAAAATTACCAACGCTACAAGAATTGTGGCTCGATCACAATCAATTGCAACACTTGCCACCTGAAATCGGCGAACTGAAAACACTGGCATGTTTGGATGTTTCGGAAAATCGTTTGGAGGATCTTCCTGATGAGATTGGTGGTCTCGAGTCATTGACGGATTTGCATTTATCACAAAATGTTATTGAAAAGTTACCTGACGGACTCGGCGAATTAAAAAAGTTAACTATCCTCAAAGTAGATCAAAATAGACTTTCTACCTTAAATCCAAATATAGGAAGGTAAGCACATAAAATATTACATTAACATATTACATTAATCTATTATTAACGTTAAAGATAAAGATCATTATCTGGAGATAAAAATTTACTTACGTTTTATGTTTCAGGTGTGAGAATTTACAAGAGCTAATTCTTACGGAGAATTTTCTTTTAGAGCTACCATTGTCTATAGGCAAACTGTACAATTTAAATAATTTGAATGTTGATAGAAATAGCTTGCAGTCTTTACCGATAGAAATTGGTAAGATGATATAATGCAAATTTTTATTTTATGATATTGAATATATAAAATATTCAAGTATAAGTGAACGAAATTTAAATAATTAAAATTATTTTTTTTTTTTTTTAGGTAACCTAAAAAAGTTGGGTGTATTGTCTTTAAGAGACAATAAATTACAATATCTACCGGTTGAAGTGGGACAATGTACTGCTCTTCATGTCTTAGATGTTTCTGGCAACAGGTATATAATTTTTGTAATACTTTTTATCCATATTAAGTATATTTGTTAGCTTTATTATAATTAATATAAATCTAGGAGGGCAAGATGTAAATGTGTTACGTTTGAATAATATGCTTATTTATCTTATTATTATTAAATTATAAAATAACAATATCTAAAACAATGTACAATTTTGCTATACAGATTACATTATTTACCATATTCCTTAATCAATTTGAATCTGAAAGCGGTATGGTTAAGTGAAAATCAAGCACAACCAATGTTAACGTTTCAAACAGACGTTGATGAAGAAACGGGACAAGAAGTATTAACATGTTTTCTTTTACCACAATTGGAATTTCATCCTGATGGTTAGTATAATTAACATTTTATTTTATTTATTTTTCAATTTTTCATACATAATTTTCAAAATTATCTTATGAAATTTGTTTAATGATAAATCTTAATCTTATTATATAATGAAGATTTACTTCAACTATAAAATATTACAAAATTTATATAAATTTCACATATACTGATCTGCAAATTATTTTATAGTGCAAAATAATTAAGTTTTTCATTTTCTCTTTCAAAATTTTATTCAAACATAATATATAAATTCTGTAGAATATATATAAAAATTATAGAAAAGCAAAAATATTTAAGTTAAAGACAGGAGAGATGGCAATTCTTATGTAATGTTATGATTCATGAAAGTTTATACAATTAATTATTCCATTTTTAATATATTTATCAATGCACAATTGATGATGTCATTCTTTAGATTCAGGTAAATTGGGAATGTTAGTTGGCATAAGAAATGTTCAAGGTTGTGAAATGCGTGAGCTGACAAGCAGTGATGATGAAGGTTGGCAAGAAAGAGAAGCATCAAGAACGCATTCCGTAAAATTTACTGATGAGCCACCAGAAGCCGATAAAGAGGTATGTTTACTGATTTGCTTTTTATAAGCTAGTTTGTATTACTTTTTGTTTTATATTTTCTTTTTATTTATCTCGACAAATAGATTCCATTTATACGTCAAAATACACCACATCCGAAAGAGTTAAAAGCTAAAGCGCATAAGTTATTTAGCAAAGGAAAAAGTGAAAGTCGATCAGAATCTACAGATGAACAGGTAAGTCTTATAATTAATTTATCTTTTCTTTTTTAGCAAACTTTAATTTGCCAAAACAATTCTACCTATACATTTTTAACATTTTTTTATAACATTCTCAATGTATTTTATTTTATATTATCATGTAAGATAATCTTGTTAAAACCTTTCTTCAGGATGTTTCTCAAACATTTGGATTGGACAAAACAGAATCGGAATCATTAGTTAATCCTGTAGATATGCCACAATCTGTTTCTGAACAAGAGGAACATGTAAAATGCAGTATTGCACAAGAGCATCGTAAAACACCAACATTTGGTATTGACTCTGATAACACAGATATTCAACTTAATAAAGAAAGGGATAATTTTTCAACTCAATATTCTACAGAATTTCACACAGTGAGTAATTTATATCTTATTAATTTAAAAGAAGATATTATCTTTTATCTGCATTATATCAATTTTTAGAATGTAAAATACACACATATTGTGATTAAACAGTATATACATACTAATTATAATTTAGTCTTGCTTTTTCTTGTATATATTTATATACATACGTACATACGTACATACGTACATACGTACATACATACATACGTACATACATACATACATACATACATACATACATACATACATACATACATACATACATACATACATACATACATACATACATACATACATACATACATACGTACATACATACTATATACCCCCTCCCCCAACATACACACATACATATACATATATTTCTGTAGTTTATTTTTTAGTAAATTGAAAGTAAATTGAATTTTTTAGTGAATTGTTTATTTTTGTAGAATGCAAGTACTGAAAATTCTGTCCCAGAATCAAAAGAAAAAGATGAAGAAGAATTTGAAAATGAAGATGTGCAAAGACATGTTGAATTTAATATTGTAGAAGATGCAAATAATGAAGATGTTTATGATTCGAATAAGCCCAATAAACTTCAACGTAGAGATACTCCACATCATTTGAAAAATAAACGCATTCATACGACAGTTGACAAAGAAAAAGTCGCTTCTATTATTGCACAGGTTGATATTTTTTATGTGATGTAATAAGTAAACAATACTATTTATAATATAATTACAAAACATTTAATGTAATGAGTAATTAATTTTTTTCTATTGAAGAATCATATAATACTTTTTGGTTTGTATTTGCCAATATATTTGTTATATATAATCAGAGTAGATAGATTTATACTTATATTTATAGGCACTTATGAAAAAAGATGAGACTCCTATATCCTTACCACAAGTAGAATCAATGGAAACATTCGACACACATAGTCAAGGTAACTTTAAGCAGCAAGTTATAATAGAATTATAATTTAATAATTCCGTGACAGTTTAACAAATATCGCATTATTTATAAGATAAATTTGTTAAAATTATTTTAACGGTATTTGTTTATTTAGTTTTATTATTAATTTAGAATAGTAACTGTCATATTGCGATATTAATTAGATATTATATTAGATTTTGTTTTGAAGACAGATTTTGTTCTTATCATATGCATAAATAAAAATTCTCTTGAAAAATGATGGTAATAGATTTTGAAGACCCTCTATATATGAATCTTTGATTTTATTTCTCTATTTTGATTTTATCTCATGATAGAGAAGGGGAAATGCGATAAGATATATCTCTTGCCCTACCTATATCTTATCTAATCCAGTTATCAATGTGTCTCTCAATGGTACGCGTTAGGAAATATAATAGTGTACGTTGATAAATTACAATAGTATACTTGTAATATATGTGATTTTTTTTATATAAATGGAATTATTTTTATACAACATAAATTGCAAAGGATAAAATTACTTGATACAAGATGTCCAGAAGATATAAATGTTTTATTAGAAATAAAAGAATAAGGAAAAGTAAATGTCCGATAATACATAATGGCAAGATATTTATTAAATTATATTTATGATAATGGTATTGAAACAGTGACCATTTATTTGTTTTACCAAGATTTGATATTTTATTTTTTGGTATTTTGATTTTTGATATTTTAGATGCAGCATCTGATATCGAACCAACATTAGAAATACGGGAAGAGCAATATGAAATTCATATAGAAAGAACGACAGGTGGATTAGGCTTGTCAATAGCAGGTGGTATCGGATCGACACCTTTTAAAGGCGATGATGAAGGCATTTTTATTTCAAGAGTTACCGAAGGTAAATATTTATTTATTAATAAATAACTTTATATTTATCATGTTTATGCATATCACATGTAAATGTTTCTATTTTATACTTATGAAATATTTGCTATATATATATATATATATATATATTGATTTTTTCCATGTGTTTATTTAGGTGGACCTGCAGACTTGGCTGGGTTAAGGATAGGAGATAAAGTAATATCTGTAAATGGAGTGTCGGTAGTAAATGTAGATCATTATGATGCTGTGGAAGTATTAAAAGCATGTGGACGTGTACTTATATTGGTTGTTATAAGAGAAGTTACAAGAATAGTTCCGCCATATGAGCAGGTATAAAATATTTTATTATTTTTAATCCTATTGATATATTTTTATATTGATTTTTAAATCGATATCCTAATTTTTTTTTCTATTAAACTCAGGCACCAATGAGAAAAGATTCCGTATGCTCTAGTTTAAGTACAAGTAGAGCACCAAGCGCAACATCTTACGTTTCATCTACAGCATTGTCACATACATTGGAAAATGGCGATACATCTGTGTCTCATGAAAGTACAAAGGTAATGGTTTATTAATATTTTCTTTTATGATAAACTATGATAACGATTTAAATGTAATATATTGTAAGCAAAAAAAATTACCTGACCCTCTAACCACCGTAAAAGATAGTGAACCTATGGTTTCTGTTCTCTTTCACACAACATTAATACGAGATCAAAATGGGCTTGGATTCAGTATTGCCGGTGGAGAAGGTTCGCCATCCTTTAAGGATAATAGCGATGTAAGTTTGTAGAATAAAATTTTTTATCATTACATTAATTTATAACAAGATAATTGCATTATCGATCGTTTCTAGGCAATTTTTATCTCAAGAATAACAGATGGTGGAGTTGCCCAGAAAGATGGTAAATTATTAATCGGAGACAAAGTAATATCCGTAAGTACTTTTTATTAAATCTATTAAATTATGATATTGGACGACAAAATTTAATGTATAAATTGGTTATTTTTGTAGATTAACGGAGTAGATATGAGAGGAGCGAAACATGAACAAGCAGTGGCTTTACTTACTGGCTTGGAAAGATTTGTTCGATTAGTAGTCGAACGGGAAATACCACTTTCTCAAGCGAATCTTGCCACTCCTGTTGTAACTCCTTCTGAAAAATCGCCACGTGTTATAGGTACGCCAAAACCTTATACAGGCTTGTATAATGCCAATAGTTATATGGCAAATAGACCTGGATATGGCGGATATCGTCGCTCTATGGATGCCGATAAAGCATTGACACCGAGTCCTACTTTAAAAACGCCACCATCACCATCGACATTAGCTATGAAATCCGATGTTAGTGAGATACCTAAAATGAACGGCGTAACTGAGTCAGGAAATACTCTGAAGAATGTTTCACCAATTTCTCCCAGCCCGACAAATAATCAAACATATCCACAGCCGGTTCCAAGACATAGCGTTTCACAGATGTCACCTACAAATAATACTGGCTCTGCGACTATGACTCCTCATGTAGAGCCTAGACCAGTGTCTCCGCAGGAAGACATACAGGTACCGAAGCCAATCACCAACGAGGAATTTCAAGCTATGATCCCCGCTCATTTCCTTCGACCTCCAACATCCTCGCCTTCACCAGACTCCCATCAGGGCCCGATTGTAACAGTGACGATAAAGCAGCCCGATACTTTGCCTGGAGATGTTAATTTTCCTCCAGCTCCTACTACACTCGGTAAAGTTACTGAGACCATCACAAAGAGTACACTCACCGAGACCGTCGTAACTAGGGTGACTGACAACCAATTGGTGCAACCACTTATTATTGAGGTATGTGCTTGTTAGAGAAGAGCATCACAAATACATTGCACATATATTGCTAATATAGTTTTACTTCTTTTAGAAGCACATTCGTATCTTATTATTCTATCTTATTTGATTTTTTATTTTGTTATTTTTCTATGCTGTATGTATTTTATTATTTTTTTAATTAAAATTTTGCTTAATTTTATGTCATATATAAAAATAGATATATAGTTTGAGTACACACTTTTATGTTGAAAATTTTTATTTGTATATCTTTTTAATTTGTATGTATACGCACATACAATGAAGCAATAGTCTGACTTCCATCAGATTATATCGCATGTTTGTAAATAATATTATTATTGGCTACATTTATAATTTATAATTAAAATATCTGATATTTGGATCAATTTGATATCAGCTACAATTTGAAACTTTATTAAATTTGCCCGAAATGTCAGTCTATTCTAAGTTAATACATAAAATACATTACAAAATTTTTAAATTTATAGTTTAACACTTTAAGTTTAATTAATTTCAAATATAGAAAATATAACAAATACAAAATTGATTAATATGTTAATTTTTTTATACATTATACTGTATTATTTTTTTCATACATTATATTTTCATACATTATAATATTTTTTTCATATGTATAAGAAATTTCTATAATTTGAACTTGACATCCAATTCATAACTCTCTTTTTTATAATTAAAAATATAATTGAAATATATTTAAACAAATGCTCATGAAAAATTGCGATTTAATAAAAAGATTATGAAAATAGAATTGTCTTAGAAGAAAGAAATCCATTGTCTTAGAAGAAAGAAAATTTTTTGATCGTTGCAATTATTTTTGCTGCATGTTTAAATATATATATATCTTTTTTAATTTTGATTTCTTTATGTGTAAATATTGAACTTTTGCTTAATTATATTTCTCTCTTATGCTTATTTTTCGTATATTAGTAAAATTTAAAAAATTATGGGATGACCTTAGAATCAATTTTGGTAACTATGGACTATAATAATGACAGTATGCTTATCTTCTGGCATGGGAATAGGTAAGTAGTGTAGAGATTTGTCTTGTCCCATACCATCCTTAATAAAAAAAATGGGATGTGAGGTATCATTGTCACAGTTTTATTTTAATAAAATCTGTATCAAAATCCATAGCTTGTGTTGTCCTTTACTAAATTCTCTGCATAAATCCTAAACTTTTATCCCGATTAATATCTTTAGCACTTTACAAAATTCAAACTTTTATTTTAAAATTTTTATAACTAATTTGATAATTATTGTTTAGGATGTTGTCCTTGTCAAAGAAGGCTCCTTGGGGTTTAGTATCATAGGAGGAACCGATCATTCCTGTACACCGTTTGGTGCAAAGGAACCGGGAATTTTCATATCTCATGTAAGTTTCTTCTTAATTTAATTTACAATGAAATTTATTATTGTTTACACACACACATACACACACACACGCGCGCGCGCGCGCGCGCACATATATTTCAGAAAGATATGTTGTTGAATGCTGTTTCTTGAATATTGCAATGTACTTCATCAGAGGGTGAGGAGCAACCTGATAATGATTAAATTGCTTCTCATCCTGATGAAGCGAATTGCAAGAAACGGCCAAGAAAGCCAAGAAACGTTGGCATTTAGCAATGAATCATGACACGGGTAATACGCGAAAATGTATTAACCTTTTTGTAGAAAATAACTGTAAAAGACTCAAAAAGCATTGTATATTTATTTTTATGTAATTATTTATGTAATTTAGGTTGTTCCTGGTGGTATAGCAGCCAAGTCTGGTAAACTGAGAATGGGTGATAGGATATTAAAGGTGAATGGTACAGATGTGACAAAGGCTACACATCAAGAAGCAGTAGTGGAACTTTTGAAACCAGGAGATCAAATCGTGCTTACCATTCAACACGATCCACTTCCAGAAAGTTATCAGGTAAATAACACACATAGGTTTTAATGTGACATTGCTTTTAAAGAGCTGTTTAGTGATGCTTTAGAGCTATAAGTCTACGGATTA